GGAGGTAGTGGAAGTAAATGGCGTACCCACGGAAGGAAAGGCCCAAGGGCATATTATGTGCTCAAACGAGATCTGTTGTACAGGATAGTGCAAATACGACGGGAAGAAGTAGAGCAACTCTTAGTCCCACAGAAACACACAAGGGCAGTACTAGAGTTAGCTCACAGTCATCTATTTGGGGGACATCTAGGAGTAGACAAGACACTGGATAGAGTCCTAAGAAGGTTTTATTGGCCAGGAATACGTGCAGCGGTCCAGCGCTATTGTGCCCCCTGCCCTGAATACCAGTTGCATAGCCCCCGACCTCACTTGCAGGCCCATTAGTACCTTTGACTATTATTGAAGTTCCTTTCGAGAGGTTAGCAATGGACATAGTGGGCCCACTGGAAAGATTGGCACGGAGCCACCGAAACGTATTACTCATCCTTGACTACACCACACGGTATCCAGAAGCTATTCCTTTAAGAAACCCCACGTCCAAGGCAATAGCAAAAGAACTACTCCACGTTTTTGCCAGAGTGGGCATCCCTAAGGAGATCCTGACAGACCAAGAAACCCGGTTCATGTCAAAACTAATGAAAGACTTATGTAATCTACTCCACATCCAGGCCATATGGACCTCAGTCTACCATCCTCAAACAGATAGACTGGTCGAGCGGTTTAACCGTACCCTTAAAAGTATGATCTGGAAGGTGGTAGCACAGGATGGAAAAGACTGGGATACCCTTCTACCGTATCTAATGTTTGCTATATGGGAAGTCCCCCAGGCATCCACTGGTTTCTCTCCCTTTGAACTACTATACCAACACCACCCATGCGGAATATTAAATATTGCCAAGCAAGATTAGGAAAAACAACCCAACCCAGGAAAGAATGTCATTGAACATGTGACACAGATGAGAGAGTGAATAACTTGAGTAACCCCTATAGTATGAGAAATCTGGAAAAAGCACAAGAGGCCCAGTGGACATATTACAACTGTCAGGCGAAAGTACCGAGATTTCAGCCGGGGGAACAGGTAATGGTGCTAGTACTGACAGCAGAAAGCAAACTGCTAGCCAGCTGGCATGGACCATATGAGATAGTGGAAATCATTGGGGAGGTGGACTGTAAGGTCAGACAACCAGACCGTCAAAGGCCAGAGCAAATCTAACACATCAACTTACTGAAGCCCTGGCGTGACCTAGAGACGTGCCTGGACATTCGGGGAGCTCCACCCCAGACAGATGACCCACAGGGGCAGGTGAAAATATTTTTTGAGTTAACTCCAGAACAACAAGCAGAGGTCATTGATATGATCCAACGGAACCAGGACATGTTCTGTACACAGCCGGGCCATACAACACTGGTCCAACATCATATTGTCACCAGTCCAGAAGTAAGGGTGACGATAAGACCGTACCGAATACCGGAAGCTAAAAGGGAAGAAATTAGGACAGAAGTGAAGAAGATGCTGGAACTCGGGGTTATTGAAGAATCCCACAGCCAGTGGTCCAGCCCTATTGTCCTAATCCCCAAGCTTGATGGCACCCTGAGGTTTTGCAACAACTTCTGGAAGTTGAATGAAGTATCCCAATCCGATGCCTTTCTGATACCGCGCATTGACGAGCTAGATGATCAGTTAGGCGAGGCCCGATACCTGACCACTCTAAACCTGACCAAAAGATATTAGCAAATTCCCCTGGCTGAGAATGCCAAGGAAAAGACTGCCTTCTCTACACCGAATGGCCTCTTCCAATACACTGTCCTCCCTTTTGGACTCTAGGGGGCCCCCACAACATTCCAACGACTTATAGACAAATTGCTGAGACCCCATGCCAAGTATGCCACCGCCTGTCTAGACAACATAGTCATCCATAACCCTGACTGGGAAATGCACCTCGGAAAAGTAGAAGCAGTGCTAGATGCCCTGCGGAAGGCTGGCCTCACTGCCAACCCTCTCACAGGATAGGACTAGCTGAGGCCAGATACCTCAGGTTTGTAGTAGGGAGAGGCTTGGTGAAACCCCAGTGGAACAAAGTGGAGGCAATACAAGGTTGGTCTCGACCAGTCAGCAGAAAGCAGGTCAGAGCATTTCTAGGGATAGTAGGATACTATCAGAGATTCATCCCTCATTTCGCCAGAAGAGCAGGGCCATTGACGGATTTGGTAAAGGCTCAAGGCCCTGAGATAGTGAAGTGGACTGATGTGGCAGAAGGAGCATTTGCAGATTTAGGACAGCCCTTTGCTGCCACCCAGTACTCATAGCCCTAGACTTTGAGAAGGAATTCATCCTACAAACAGATGCCTCGGAGGTAGGGCTAGGAGCCGTCCTTTCGTAGATGGTAGGGGAGGAAGAACACCCAATCTTGTACCTCAGCCAGAAACTCCTCCCCAGGGAACAAAAGTATGCCGTCATTGAAAAGGAATGTCTGGCGGTAAAATGGGCTATGTAGACTCTCCACTACTACCTACTGGGGCGGCAGTTTACCCTTGTGACAGACCACGCCCCACTCCAGTGGATGCACAGAAACAAAGAGAAGAACGCAAGAGTGACTAGGTGGTTCCTATTCCTGCAGCCCTTCCATTTCCGGGTACAGCATAGGGCCGGAAGCCAACAAGGCCCATGATGGCCTATCACGACAGCACTGCCTCTCGTCCCAAGTAGCCCAACCTCATGGTGTTGAGCGGGAGAGGGGGGAATATGTGATACAGCATGGCCAGAGGGCAGCAGGAGAGTGTTAGAAGGGAGCCTTATTCCCTGTAGAGGGAAGAAAGTTTGCTATATATTAATTAAAGCACCTGAAGCCAATCACCTGATAAACCCCCTCCCACCCCCCGCTTCAATCAGACAAGGGAAGGGGTTGAAGGAGAGTGGATTAGCGTTGGAGCAAAGAGCAGTTTGGAGGAGTTGAAACAGAGTGGATTGGTGTTGGAGCAGAGAGCAGTTTCGAGGGAAGCAGAGGAGAGTTTGGAGAAGTGCTGTGGTGGGCTAAGAAGACCAAGACCCAAGGTAAAGGGACACCTGGTTTGTGCAGAGGGAGGGCAGGAAGCCCCACAAGCTGAAGGGCAGGAGAGGGAAGTAGCCCAGAGGAGGGAACTGCTAGTTCAAGCGGTTTACCACTATCCCTAGGCCCCTGGGCTGGGACCCAGAGTAGAGGGTGGGCCCGGGTCCCTCCCTCTCCACTCCCCTCCTCTAGGACACTAGTGGGGCAGTTAATACCCCAGTTCAGGGGTGAGAAACGGTGCCCTGAACCCTCCCCAAGAAGAGAGAATGTGAGACCCATCAAGGTAGTGCAGGCAATTTGCCACAGTGTGTACGTACAAGAGTACACGAACTAGGTGAGCAGTTAGCTGCTGCTTTTGTTATACAGTGTGTGAGTCTAGACTATTCTTTGAACAAAGTGGCTAATCTTTTCTTATTGACTTCCAATATTGTACTGCATGTTGCAATTTATTGCTGGTGGTCAGTCTAATGTACTAATATTTTATGTATGTATAAGAGAACATCTGCAAATGACTGTGTGGACTTAGGGGCCTCAACCATTAAAGTTAATGGAGATTGTGTGGCTAACTCCATATGCATTGCAGAAAGTAGTTATTCTTGCAAATACATTCACTATCAACAGTAGCACACAGTTTAATTTTCAAGACCTGAAACTGTAGATGTATTTTCAAAGTATTGCCATAATTTTCCCTTGCGTGACCTGTCCAGACTGTGAAAAGTAATAGTTCTTGAAGACAACTCAAGATCATTGAATAACAGACTCAATTGGGATTATTTAATAAAAGATTATCAGTCAGAGATTACTATAGGTTTACACAGAATACAGAAAGAATAGATAGTTAACCGCCCTTTGATGTGATCAGGATTGATGATAGATTTGCTATGTCTCTCTCCTTCACTGTATCTAAAGATGTGGCAGATTTCAGTGTCATCATATAGGATTTTCAAAAGAAACATGTTTTGATGTCATTTCTATTCATTCTCAGTTTACCTGACTTATGTGTGAAGGCATGATTATTTACACCTGGGAGGACTAACAGGATAGTACAGTATATTGCAATGGGTCTTTCTTCCCACATAATTATTCTTTCCTATCTGCTGTTATAATTATCTCTTATGAGTTTCCCAGGTTTATATATACTTGTATTTTGAATTTACAAAAATCTTCTTTTGTTGATTCAAATTCAATATACTCATAAAATGTGGACAGTATTAATTACTATAAGACTAATAGATAACTCAAAATCACAACAAATTAATATATTCAGATTAAAAATTTTAACAATTAAAGTTTGGATGTGATCTGATGAATATATAAAGTGGACATACAAGGAACAGACTCTGGGTGAAATTAAAGATCAAGATTTAACTCAAAGCTTTTGTAAACCAAATTTAAATAAGTTTTCAGCATTCCCTCTGGCTTGTATATGGCTTTTTAATGGAGATAAGTACCTATACATCCTTCACCTATTTACTATAGGGGATGTTTTCACTACCAGTGTGAATTAATATATTTCTTGGTTACAGAACAAGCAACATACATGTACTTTAAAATTCTTGATCACTTATAATTATAAAGGGCTAATAGATGTTAACATAAGTAAAATGTGTTACTATAGAGCTGGTCAGAATTTTTCCAATGAAACAGTTTAGTCAGAAAAGGCTAATTTTTCAAACCAAAAATGTTTCATGAAAATGAGTTAAGTTCAATTAATTTTCAGGTCTTCTGGATTCTGGGGACAGCTGGCTCACTGTGCTCCCTGACTCCCAAGGCATGGCTACAGGGAACCAGAGAGCCCAGGCAGCTACTGGCTGAAATTGACATTCTTGTCAGTATCACCGCTGGTATCTGAGTAGCAAGAATGTTAATTTCAGTCACTAGTTGCCAGGACCCTGGAGAGTTTATTTTGTTTCAGGAACACAATGGGTCAATGCTTCCAAAACTAACTCTCCTTCCCCGCCCCCAACCGAATTTCCAGTTCTCTAGAAACTTTAAAAAAAAAATCTTTCAAACCAGAAATCCTGAGTTTTGGACAACTCTAGTTATAAGTGGATATAAGCACATCAGCAGAAGGTATTTATAAATGGTTTTAAGCAGCCTGTTACGTAGTCATTTTATTAACCATTTTGTAAAACAAAAATTTACTCATGAATGGTTTATAAAGTATTTATAAATGTTGTTGGCATCCTTTCATCTGTGAAAGACAGTGGGAATTGAAGCCTATGATGTAGATGGTTTTCAATGTTTCGTGACTGTAATATATCTGTAATATAAAGGGACCAATTTATTCATGGCTACATTATCACAGATTTCTTTTTTGAAGTTGAAGTTGCTTAAGTCTCTTTACAAGTATCTTAGGTTCAAGTGGCAAATTCTTTTTTCTATTCAACTTTGAGACACAAGTCCAAAGCCTATATAAATAGGTGTCTAGGTATATCCTGTATCTTCAGCATCTAGGAAAAGCTTTTTGGTAACAGGTTATGAACTCTGCATGAGGGTTGTCTTCAGTGAAATCAGAGATGTGATTGCAGCTTGGGCATATCTGACATATCTGCACTAGCTTTAATCTTACCTAGTACAGCTGAAAATAGCTGTGAAACTGTGGTGACATGGGCTTCAACACAGGCTTTATAAGCACACCAGACATGCAGGGTACGTACTCACATTGCTAGCACACACTGAAGCGCTGCTGCCATAGCATCACTGCTATTTTTAGCTGTGCTAGCTGGATAACAGATAGTTCAGGTACGCCAACGTGTGTTGCAATCACCTCCAGTTGTAGAGTGGACATACTCTAAGACCAAATCTATTGGGATGACATACTGGAAATGAAGTAAGCCTGTCTAGTGTTAACAATAATCCTTTTTTTAAAAAAAATTACTACTTCCTGGGAGGAATCCATCCTTGATATTTCCTGGTAAGTATCACATTATACCTTAACTTTATTTTTTGAAAAGAGCTTTGTGCAAAATATGCAATAGCTTTCACATGGAGTTATGAAAATAATTCTCAAGACATTTTTATTGTGTAGTTTCAGGAGGATTTTTGTCTATAAATGGCATTTTTTCATTGGTACAGTTCTGGAATAGAGTGGCCTCAGGTATGTTAAATTAAATGGGATGATGACAAAAATCAAAAGATTTATTTCCAGATCAAATGTCTATTCGTTCTTGTGATTGTCTGTCTGCATTCCATATCAGAAAAAAACTTTTTCTGTGTCTTCAGATAACTACAATGGGAAATACTGAATAGAACTAGGTGGGGAAAATTTTTGCAGGATGGAAGAATTGTTTCAAAAATTCAAACATTCTTGCCCATCCAAATCAGGAGAACAAAAGACCTTGGTTAAGTTTTATATGAAAACATGAGAGACCAACCCACCCCAAAATAGTCAATAGACTAGTTCATAGGGCACTCTGCTGGGATTTGGGAGACCCATGCTCAAGTCTTAATAAAGCAGAGGTGTATTTGGGGGGCAGAGTTGGCATAGCATGGGAGGCATGATGTGAATCATAGAAAGCAGGCAATTGATCTTGGGTCCCCCACATCTTAGTGGGTATCCTAACATTAGACTTTTGGCTATTGTTGGGTTAATGGTCCCCTCTCTCACTGCATAAGTTCCATCCTGGACCAGAGAAATCTTTCCTAACCAAAGTTATTTCACGTCTGGTATGTTCTTGCACAAAGTTTTAGTTTTGGCAAAAGTTTCAGTGGAAAATTCCCAACCAGCTCTAATACTGAACTCTTTGACCTCACCACTGAAGCCATTTCTCCCAAACACAAGGAGCGTGATCCAAAATCCCCATGGAGTTCAATGGACTTTGGATAGGCCCTCATTGCAAGTATAGTCATATTTTTTCAGGTATTTATTTTTAGAACAATCTTAGACTCCCTTTGAGGGGTAGAGTGGGAAATGGAGGTGGATGAATGCAATTCACCTTGTTAAAGCAAAACTCTTTTTTTTTTTTTTTTCCAAAGGAGGCCTTTCAATTACTTTGTGGGTTTTGATGCCGTCTTCTGGGAATGTATACTAAGGGGTAATTATTTTCAGCCTGTGGTAGCTATAATACTTCATTACAAATTGTGAGAATTCTCTCAGATTTAACATGCTGCTGCTCTTCAATCATCTATGAAACACCAAAGTACCAGATCCTCAGGTGATGTAAACTGACATGGCTCCGTTGTCTACATGGATTACACCAATTGATGATCTGGCCCAGATAACAAACCATACTCTAAAATTATGAAAGCAAATAGACTGAAAAAGGAAAGGTATTTTGTTTGATGTATATTTGCACTGTTCTAAGAACCTAACTCATACCTCTCTAAGTAAACAGGAAATGTGCTGTCAGAGATTGACATGGCTATCTACCTTTTACTGGAATTAGATATGTGTCTAGGAATGCTTCCATTAATGGAAATTATATGCATACATTAAGAAGAGAATTGGTCCTGTTGTACTGAAATGCTGATGCTTCTACAACTTCATATGCAACCAAATTTCTTTTATGAATGCTTAATGTGTTGTCCATTATGATGGCAGAAAGCATATTCCACCCCCCTTTGGAGGAATAATTGTTTTATTTTTCCTGTCCATCTGGTTTGTGACCCTCATCACCATAGTATCTGACTACCTCACAGTTTATAATGGATTTGATGTTTTACAACACCCCTGTGAAAAACTTTTTTTTTAACATAGATTGGGAGCAGAGGCACGGGGTAGAATAAGTAACTTGCTCAAGACCACAGAGGAAGATTGTGGCCAAGCAAAAAATCAATCCCAGGTCTTCTGAGCCCCCAGAGCAGTGCCTTATCCATTAGATCATTTTGCCTAACCTGCCTCTTATTCACCAAACAAACAAGTTTTCTGTTGAATAGAACTGGATGAACAGTGTTCAACAGTAGCAACACAGGCATAGAGATGTTTTTACCTTCAGACAAACCATAAGATGGACCGCATATAATGGAATAACTTGGTTGAGATCTTACTGATCTGTATAATATTTGCAGCTGTAGCCTTCTCTGAATTCTAAATTGGGGCAAATATAACGTGATCTCTGATCATGTGCAAAATATTCTTATTCCATCTAACTTCATCACTTATGCATATTTTTCAACTTCATCACCAAAGTGTTATAAAATTCAGATGCTGATAGGAAAGGGAAATAGAGCAACAAGCACAATGTTTTTTTCATAACTCTTAACTGAAAGGGAGTTTGATTTTTTTCAGAGAAAAATGGCAGGCTAACTAGGATCCCAGGTACACACAGTATACATATAAATGTGACCCTTAAAATGGTATACATTTATAGAGTAGTCAAACCCTCTTTCACATTCTTCCAGATCATTACTTTTGTATGAAATTTACCATTAGCCCAATGGAACCTAAATAAATAAATAAATCCATCAAAAAAACCTGGATACATTGGGGTACCTGGAATCCCTGTGAGCTGCCATCAGCTATTTCATACTGAATTCCAAAATAATATATATACTCCGAGCATGGCTCATTGCCTTTTCTTTGATATGGAGTGGCCGAAAAAGTAGATTGGTTTGAAAATGTTCAAAGGTCACAGGAAGGGTATTCACACAAGTAGTATCTTACATTCCAGGTCTGATTTCTCCCCTCTTCCCACCAGATTGTGCCGTGTGTGTGTGTGTGTGTTTCTTTAAAAGTTACTATAATGCTTCCTCTTCTAACCTTCAATTTGTTCTATTGTGTCCTTCTGAAATTATTTCCTATTGCAGACTTTCCCCAGTTCAGATAGTTTTATTATTGTGCCCTTTTCAATTCACTAAGGCCACCTTTGTATTCTGACAGAAACACAATTCTTCAAAATATAAATGACCTAAATCTTGAAGAGAAATGTAATATCATTTCCCAAGAAGATTTCTGTTTCATACTGTGATCCTGAAAGATCATTCTTAAGTATCACAGATATGAAATTGTTGTTATAAAACGAATTTCCCATGAAGATGACCCATCTGCCCAGGACAGATTAAACATTTCCTCTGTGTACATCTCCCATTCTGAAAAAGAATTATAATAGTGTACTGGAAAATAGAGTGGGATTTTTTCAACATGGATTATATTGGGGACCAAGGAGTCCTTGAAACAACTTAATTTGTATTACTATTTATTACTTGTATTACTATATATTAACTTAATTTAATTTGTATTACTATTTATATATGTACTATTTCTGTACTATATGAACATGTCTTCTAAACTATAATAAGTAATGCTATGAGAAATTGGCCAACATTATATTACACACACACACACAAACTTTGTAAAAAGAACATTAGGAAGATTGCAAAACCAACCACTCAAAAATTAGGAAATGTAAGGATTAAGATTGTGCATCTATAATTTGGCCTCTTGTGTTTGGGGGCCAAATTAAGATTGCACAGGCAAATTTTATTCTGGCATTTCCTAACTTTTGAGTGCTTCACTTTACAACCTTCGTAATGGTCTTCTAACACTTTTTTTTTTTTTGGGGGGGGGGGGAGGGGTTAATTACCTGCATCCTTAAAAAAGCAACCCAAAAATCCAAAAGCAAATTCCATCCTGTGGCACCTTCCTGAAAACAAATGGGTTTATGTAGACCAGCATTCACGGGTTTGAGATACACACCTTGCAGTAGGTTTCAGAGGAATGGTGAGACTCAAGAATTTGGGGTTCCATTCCGATTAGTGTTCTTAAGTAGGCACAGAATCTTCTGCCCATTTCCCTCTAAATTTTAACTCCTACGCTATACCCTTCAACCTGTCTTTTCCCCCTGGTTTCATCTCCTAATTCCATTCTACTTACCTACAAAGTCCCAGTCTCCAGTGCACAAGTTTATCATTCTAGTGCCAATCTCCTTATCCAGCTAGACATAATCTCTTCCTCCAGGCACACAGTCCATCTCTTCCCTTCCCCACATTGTTTCCCCCTTCTGCCCTGACTTCTTGCCCAGCAAATGTCCATTCACTCATTCCAGCTTCTTCTCCAGTCTTTCCCTTCTCTTCCCCACCCTGCCTCCCAGTCCTTCTCTCCATCCCTGTGGTCTTCCTCCAAGTCTTTATAC